TTACTATATGTTGGAGTCAACTTCAAGTCACATAATTAACTAATTTTATCATCCATTGTTCCTTTGGGCTGTGTATTTGATCTCTTGGCTTGACCCTTCAGTGTAGACCTTCAGACCCACCCATTCTTATATTTTCTGGTTATGGAGGCCTTAACGGATCTGCTAGATCTAATTAGAGTCGATCTGTTGATTCCATGGGGTCTACAGAAGTCTTGATGTACCATTTAGCAGTTGATTCAGTCATTCTGCTCTAGTTGGGAGTAACAACTGGATTTATGTCATAGAGCTGCAGAACATCTGGTATCTCTCTTGACCGATATTTGAATTCCTTCGCGACTATATCATAAGACAATATAAAGAGTGAAGTTTCACTCTGGATTCATTACTGCAGCTTTTGTGCAGGTGCTACGGGTGTATTTTTCAGATGATTAGTAATGGGATACAAGACCTTTCACCTCTGGGTTGATAGTTCAAGTGAAGATACAGTTACCTAAAGATGTATTATGCAAAATAAAGATGATGGGCAAATTCTGCACAGGGCTATCTGTAACATTAGGTATTGTAACAAGTGGCCAATTTTGGAAGCCACAGAATAATGGTGAGAAGTTTAAAGATTGACTTGTGTTAACAGATCGCCTACCTGGAGCATGTAACCTAGCCGGGAACCTTCTGGTCCAGTGGAGGATGCTATCCTGTTTACAAAGAAGCCTGGCAGTCCTTGTTCAAAATCCAAAAGCAAAGGTGGGAAATAGTCTCATTTATTAGTCTGGCCAGGATAATTTTTTGACTTTTTTCTTTCTCCCTTATCAGGTCTGCAATGGCCAAATACATTTGAGCACATGGCAACAAGACAAGAATCATTAGGAAAGATAACAAAACTAGGAAAAGCAGAAGGCAGCAGGAAAAGAGGAAGACCAAATATGAGAGGGGTTGACTCAGTAAAAGAAACCATGGCCTTGAGTTTGCAAGGGACCTGAGCAGAACTGTTAGTGTTAGGAGCTTTGGATGGCCACAAATTCAGTGTGTTACCATATGTCGGAAGCAAAGTGTTGGCACAGAAGAATAACAATACGGTATAGGTATCACTCATCCTTGTTTTTAGACAATATAACAAATGTTGAATTAAGCTGCAATGGCCAGCCTGGACAAAGGTGAAGCATGATGGGAACTGTAGTTCAACACGATCTGGAAGACCCCGGGTTCCCATTTGTCAGCATCATATCCAGACACTACTCTGACGCTTTTAACAGCAGCTTGACCTGAAAGCACCAGCAGGGAAAGATTTTATCAGAAGAGTTTGTCCACTAGTAGTTATAGTCGATCTAATTGTTGTCCAAAGCATAGCAGCTGTAGCTGGTTGAATATTTGGCAATTTCTGGATAGGCACGCCAATCTTGCTGGTAATGAGGAAGGCTACTACAACTCACGTGGCTTTTAACTTAAGTGAATATCCAGACTTTAGCAGGTTTTAGTGGCAAAGTACCTGTTTTATAGGAGCAGGTGTGATTCATATGCCTCTGGGTCAAGAGGTAAATTAAGTTTTATTGAAAGAAGAGGCCTGTACTTTGAGAAGATTGTGAGAAGTGACAGCTGGGAAAATAGTCAGGCAGATACTTTAAGTGGTGTCCATCAGAGCAGACGGAGGATTACATCTGTATCTGAAATATGCACAAATGTATTTAACGTCAACATGAGCAACAATAAGAACTTGATTTAGAGGGTGTCTCTCCCACAGTGAAATGCTGTTGGAAAAGAGATATAAATATGGATCTCTGTCCACAAACATATGCACGCAATGATATTCGTACAAAATCAAACTATTCTAAAGCCATATTTGAAAAATTAGGAACGAAGCAGGAAAGAAGAGGCAATGGGGAAAATGATAAGTGTTCTCAAGCAAACCTTCTCTGCAAGGAAATCTTGAGATGATTTTTGCCGTAAGAGTTCTGTTCTGTCCTTGACAAGGTAACTGAATCAAGGCCAAAAATCAAAAATATTCCCATAGCATTCTTTTGGAAGCCATAATACCAAGAAGTAGGAAAGGCAGTATTCAAGTTGTCAGCACCCGGTCCTATGACTGAAATTCTAAGATGTCCAGGAAATACAAAAAATATATGTATGAATTTACGGTAACCTTGTCTCCTGTTATTGTATTTTTAACTCTCAATACATTGGAATTCCTACGGGGTCAGAACACACCAAACTCACTGCGGATGTTTTGATCCTCCTGTATAAGGGCTAAAATTCTTCTTACCTGCAAAGCCTTCAATGACTTGAGATCCAAGCACTTGAGGTGCTGCTTCTTTTGATTCCTTCCTTCATCTTGTCATAAGATTTTACTCTCCTAGCCCTTCTGCAAATACTCCCTTTAGCAGAAATGTTTTATATAATTAGCAGAGGTGGTGGCACCCCAACTCTGCCATATCCTCCCTAAAAAGGCGGAGCTGACATTGGCACTCAAATCCAAAGCTTTCAGGCCGGGCATAAAGATCATAGCTGTCCTTTGCGGTTTTTGTCTTTCTGCTCTCAGTACAGTAAGTACTGTAGGTTTGCGTGATACCTGCTTCTGAATGGGGAAGTCCTACTTCAATGGCATCGTGCCTGATGCCCACCAACAGACTTGTCCTCCATGAATTTGTTGATTCTCATTCACTAATTTAATCCAGATCCTCTTCTAACCAGGGCTATCTTTGCTATTTATAAGGCGTGAGATGGTCTCTTTAAGTGGTAGGTGCTGGGAGGCAGCAGCACTGTGTCAGAAGTAAGAGCTGTGTGTCCTGTGGCTTGTTCTGCACCATGTCACCTAGCCTTTGATATGAGGGTGGGCTGGATAGCTCAATAGTTTATGTATCTGGCCACAGAGCCAGAGGTTGGGAGTTATCTCTCTCTCTCTCTCCATTCTATCTTTTAATATCCCACAGAGCCAGAGGTTGGGCGTTAGCTCTCTCTCTCCATTCTATCTTTTAATATCCTGACTAGTGATTTTTCTAACTGCAGTCATGGTTAATAAACACTTCCAGTGCAATTTGCAAACTAAAGACATTCAGCCTCAAGCAGCTGCTCCAGTGTAGTTGTGCTAATTCAAGTTATAACGAGAGGTATAACTGGGATCGTGTGACCACTGCTTTGGCCAAGGGCACCAACATTTAGAGGGTGCAAATATCTGCTGCTGGAACTGTAGTTGTGCTAATTCAAGATATAAGGAGAGGTAGAACTGGGAATGTGTGACCACTGCTTTGGCCCAGGGCACCAACATTTTAGAGGGTGCAAATATCTGCTGCTGGAAGGGCTTGACTTCCCACTTGCCCACTTGTACATAGACTGCTTCCATCCAGTCCCATTTCCCTGGCAGATGGAAGCACGAAACAGATGGACTCCATGCAGGGCTGATATAGCAGTGGCATGTTCAAACCAATGCTTTCCTCCCCAGCCTCCCCCCACACACCCCATAAGCAATTCAGCACCCTGTGAGCCACAATGGCTCATTGCAGCACTGTGTCAGAAATTATGACTTCTGCATCTGATAAGACTGCAACCTTGTGTGCACTCCATCTTGTCCTTTGTTTTGAGAGAGCAAAAGGACTTCCACCCGAATCCAGCACAGGCTTAAGAAATTGCCTTTGCAAACATATCATCTGAAAGAAATATACCTGGCACATCTCTGATCCCCCACCCTCTGACATAGGAACATATCAAGTTCTCCTGAACAATACCTTTAAAACTATTCCAGATGCTTCGAGAACAATATTTTACTGCCAAAGCAAAGCGGGACAGCCACGCAGACCCACTTGCATTTTCAGAGAAGTGCGATCAAACTCATCCTCCCCCTTATGCAGCACAATGGAAAAAAATTATGAAGCCAAAGAGGCCTGCGGAAATACAGGCCTTTCAGGTGCTGCAGTGTGAAAGCTCTGCCAAAGGGGATCGTGTGTGATTTATCCCTGTCACACTTTCTCCCAAGCTACAAAACAGACTTCTTTGTGTTCTCCCATTAAAGCTGATCCAAAAACCAGAAAAGGGGCATTGTCCATCTTTTTTTTAAAGTGTAAAATCCATGATAATAGCTCTGTGTGGAATATGCAGCTGAGCCTGAATAGTGACACACTATATCTTTCACTACAGATTATGATTACATGATGCATCAGTGTCTGGGGGCTAAAACAGAGGTATACTGTATGTATCTGTTGAATTCAAATAGGTAGCATATCCCTTTTTATGGTGGATCAGGGAAGATGGCCTAATCTGGCCCATAGAGGCTCGAAGTCCCTCTCCCCAGGCCATGCTAGGAAGAGGAAGAAGGCACCAATCCAATGCAGCCAGAAACAACTGCAGCAATTGATCAGAAACTGTGAGTCCCTGGAGGATAATGTAATACAAGTAAATCCAGATTTTGAAATATGTTAAGTAAAACACAAATAAGCTGAGATCTAGTTACAGTCGCATGCAATTGATCCTCATTTCCAATAATGCACATGTAATTACATTACATTTGAACTTAACGAGAGATGAAAAATCCATTCCTCTTGCAATATTAACCGTAACATTTTGACTACTTTTATACTTAACATGGGTATGTCTCAAGTGAAAAAGTAGTTTTCTGACTAAATTTAATTCCAGGCAAAAGTCAAGATATTTTACTAGTTGGAGCAAAGGACAAGATGGTACCTCTCCATTTCATATGCAGAAATCAACTGGATTGTTGCTTGAAAGTTATTCTAACAATTACTGCAAAGAGTGGGAATCTAAGCCTATTTGTGGAGAAGAGTAAATGTTAACCCTGCTGAGGTTCCACGTCAACCAAGAGTGGGCCTCTGGGGATTTGTACTTTTGATCCCACGAGTTAATTTCAGACCAGTTGTTTAGATCATTAAAAATTCTTTACACCTTCCAGATGGCACTAAACTTGCCATCTCCTTAGCAAAGAAAAATAAACCATCTTGTGCCACAAATCTATAAGATATCAAAGAGCTAGACTACATGAAATTAACAGGTTTATTTATCTACATTGCTTCTATGTTCCATAAGCACAAAAACCTTCACTTTTCCCTTCAACTATAAACACCACCTCCATATTACACATTGTAACATAAACATGTTCAACTGTCAGGATTGTTATGATAAAGCAACCTTGCTTGGCTGGAGAGTTGGCTAACTCTTTTGCAATCACTACAGTGAACTGTTATTCAAGCCTCAATTCTAAATACACTTTCATTTTCATAGTCAGGGCTACTTTTTCTACCTTCCCCTTAATTATTTCAACACTAGACACACAAAATTTCTCATCTTGATAAGCCTCTCATCTGAGCTTTATGTACGTAGGAAGGTACAATTAAGAGACAGAGGCTAGAAAGGTGTTGTTCTATTACGTATATTAATAATGTAGGCATCCTTCAGTCTCGAGGGACTATAGTAGCATGCTCTGAATAGAGCTCTTGGAACAGCATCTAGTGTGGCTGAGAAGGCCAATTTGAGAGTGACAATCCCTTCCACACTGAAGACGAATACAATCTGTATTGTTCTATTAGAAACACTTTACATATCAAAGTCTCAGTTTGTATATTTTTTAAAAGTATGAATCAATCATGTTGGATACTGTAGTTTTAAATTGATGTGGAAATGAATAACAGATCTGCACTAAACCATTCCTGATGTTTAACCTTGCTGGAGATTCATCCAGTAAAGCACTGGAATATATTTAAGCTGGAAGAAAGAAGAATCTGAAAATTAAGCTAATTATATCACCAGGCAAAGATTTTTAAATGCCCAGAAAGCATCTGATTGTACAGAACAGATTTTCAAACTGGATTTTCTAGGTATCTGGAGTGGGTAATATAAAGGTTTACACTGGACTTCAATAATCTATAGTAGTTCCATAGCTATGTTTATAGTGAATAAACTGTTGGAGAAAATGTCAATTGGGAAAATACAACCGATACAGTCTGGATTGTTTGCATGAAGTGTCAAAATGTTAGATTTAATGAGGTAAAGCATAATTAAAAAGGTATACAATTTGAAGAATAGCAACACAATTTAATTACAGCTGCGTACTGAAAATGTGGGAATGCCTTCCAGTGAAACTATCATGTTTCAAATAGGGCTTTAATTGAGGTTCAACACTATATAAAGGCATCAGGGTACAACAAAACAAATTATTTTTTAAAAACATGCATTGCATAGATTCAGCCTTTACTGGTGACCTTATCTCATTTTAACACAAGGTAAAAGACATCATTCGTCACATATACACATATTTCAAAAATAAATATAAGTGAGTTTGAATATCAAACCTCATGTGTCTTCAAGTTGAAAACATGAAGTCCCTGTTTACTAAAATCTGTAAAATTTAATTTAGGTACTTTCAATTCTCACGGTTTACAAAGGTGGATCTGCTAACTTGGTATTATAGTAATAGCCGGGATTCTTTGGCTTTTAAGGCTCTAGTTACTAGTTCAATTTTCTCTTTTAGCAAGGTGGCCTCTTCAACACTTTTGAGAGCTTGGATGTTCTTCAGCAAGAAGTGATTGAGAAAAAGTTTCAAGCCTTCATGCAGCATTCCGTGTTTGGGGTTGTCAGCCAATCTGAAAAAATATACAGAATTCATAATTTAATCAGCCTATTTTTTTAGGGCAATATAGGTAACTTAAGAAGCATCCTAAGGTTTGCAAAAGGGTCTAGGATATAATATGGATAGCTGGTTATGCTATTAGATATAGGGCAGGAAACGCAGGCACCGCCACGCTGTTCCTGGACTACAACTTCCATTATCCCCGAACTAGATTGTCACATTGCTTGCAGCTTGGAGGCAAAACTTGTTTGAAAAGTAGAATAATGTAAAAAGCAAGAACTCTTTTATTGCTAAGTGATAGTCCAACAAACACTAGCCTGAATCCCTTCTGATGACTTACTTTCCGAAGATGTGGTTAAGGTCCTCTGGATCTGTCTGTAGCAACAGTGCAGACAACACTTTTCGTAAGAAATGGACTTTTGGCTTGTCTAGTTCACTGAATTCAATAACCTAGTTAAAAAACAAGATGTCACAGTCTAAAGCAAAATGTTCTAAGATTGTGGACAGCTATTATACTGATTGTAAAATTATAATATTATTAGTATTATAAACATCACCTGTACAAAAGGAAAAGCAGAAGTACTGAGGTAATCATAAGATTAAAAGATTTATTAGAATGGAGACTTTCGTTGATGTTAATTCACCTCCTCAAAGATGTCGGTACACTATTTAAGACACAGATTTGTATGCGGTTCAAATATTATATTTCTTGTTTGAAGAGGGGGATTGTAATCCAGAAACGTTCTCTTTCAAATAAATCTTTTAAAGGTGCCACAATAAGTCTGCTTCTCTTACATACTGAAGCAGATCAGCACTGGGACCTCTTTAAAAATCACCTGTACACAATTTCCTAAGAGAAAATCAGCAATTATTTCAAAAGATAGCTTCTTCTATCCAAATGTCTAATTAGTTTAATTGGGGCTCTTACACAAGAAGACACCCACTTCCCCCTCCCCTGTCCCATAATTCTAATGTTCTAAGAAAGTGAGGAAAATTTCATGAAACAGAATGACTTGCTTATACGTCAAAGTCATCAAATGATATAGCCTATAAAATACCATAATCAATAATGATGCGAAAAAGGGGCAGACTGTATTTTTTTAAGACATAAAGAACCATTTGCTATGCCTTTCTTGTTATATAAAGCTACAAAGCAACAGACACATTAACCTACATAGAAAGAAATTAAATGTGCACACTTTTTTTGAAAATTGAGTAAATTTGGCTCACCTTGAAAACAGTAATGGAGAGAGACTTAGTCTTTAACAGATGAGCCAAGAGATGAACTAAACAAAGCAACAGACACATCAACCTACATAGAAAGAAATTAAAAGTGCACACTTTTTTGAAAATTGAGTAAATTTGGCTCACCTTGAAAACAGTAATGGAGAGAGACTTAGTCTTTAACAGATGAGCCAAGAGATGAACTAAATTGGAGGAAGCAGTAGCAGATAAATTTCCTAGATCTTTGATTTTATCCCACATGCTGAACTGGAATGTCATCTGAAAATAAGAAACAAAAACAGAAAAACCTGTTGCAGAATATTAAAATACATTATTAGAAATAGCGTCTTCATGAAGCTGTCCAGTAATCAGCCCAGCATTGTTAATAAGATATGTAGATTGTGAAGTGCCAAAAGGTATCTAGGGACAACACCCCATGACTCTGCCCACTATTAGGCACAAGCCAATTGAATTGTGAGGAAGGCCGGTCACCCCAATTTCAAATGATGTTCCACCAAACCCAGCCATGGCTGCTGCTTAAAACAGAAAACAGCTGACTGCAGGACAGAATTGTCCTTTCAGCCTACTTTCTCATCTGGCCGTCTCCAACAGCGAGAGAGAACAGACCACAGTGCACCAGAAAGAGAATTATTTCTCCTACTTGCACCTTCAGTCTTAACCTCCCTTTATAGTTGATTCAAGAACCTGCATGGAAAAGAAGAGATGCTGAGGATTTTAACATAAGAGTTTTGTATGACAGGCATATGGACCAGCAGTGAGCTATGGCTCTTCTTTGGTTTCAAAAATAATAGGGAAGAGTTACAGTCTTCTCTTCTTCTTTAACCCATCCTCCACTGAAGTGCAGCTATTCCTTTTACAAGCCACAGGTACAGCAACATTATACATGCATCTGGCACGAACACTTATTCCCAGAAATGTCTTCATTCAAACAGGGCAACCAGTAAAGAGAAAGACAAATTCTTAGCTTACCTGGAATCGCCTTTCATATTCACAGAATTTGGCAGACAAATATGAATAGAATGGGTTGTACATCTTTTCTTGGAGGCAACAATCTATGAGGACATGGACAATCTCTCTTTCCTGCTGATCTTTAAGCCTAAGCCTAAAATATCAATTGCTGTTATGTAAAATCCATTTACTGAACTTTTGGGTTAACTACTATAAAAAAATCACAGCCATAACAAGAACCACATATTCTTAATTCTCTCTTGACCTGAGCCCAGGCCATCAGGTATCAAGCAATAAATAAATAAATAAATATATCCAAACAGTGAAGTCTAAACCCATGTCTGACTACTATGTATGTCTATACTATAGTACCAAATATGTATCAATGGAAGCCATACTGTATTTTGTGTGCTTTGCAAGTCCACTTCTGTGGAACAATTGTTAATTTTAGAAAGAATCTAAGGATCAGTAGGGAAGATCATCATAGGTGTCTTCCATTTTCAAGTGCTCTGACATTCACAAGGACAAAAAACAAAAATCCCTTCAGCCTCTGTTACTGAAGTCCATTCTTGTGAACACCGAATGAAGAAGTTATTCGTGGTTGATATGGGGGGGGGGGGAAGAAACTGTCCCCATATTTTTCTAATCTCTAACTAAGAATGTTGAAAATCAGAACCCATCTAATCACAAAAATATAATCAGCCCTAATGAGTCCCCACTGGCTTTTTCAGCAGAAAGTCTGGCAGAACCAAGTGGCTTTCTTGCTTGCAGAGTTGGACCGCACAGAGAAAGACGAAGACATGCTGGCAGGGAAGAAGACTGACTTGTGCTGTACCTGTTCTGTCAAATAAGTCTGATTTAGCTTTCAGAGCTGTCAAATGCTTGGCAGCACTAAAGCCAATTAAAATGAAAAATGCTTAATATTATAATGCAGAGAGTGTCAAGCACAAAATTTGCATCCTTTCAAGATGAAGCTTTCGTCTATAGATCTGGAATCTGAGATGAACAGCCTGTGGTGGCCTCATTTTGCTAAGATGCAGACAAATGTTTAATTTTATATCAAGCCACATTTCAGTGCACTCAAAGGAACAACAATGTGCAATTTGTAAGAAACAATGTCACTGATGGCTCCAGAAAATAGTTGCTGGAGGGCGGGGAAAGCAATTTGGAAGTAGGACACCTAATTTCTAAATGCCAATATATTTGGAATGTACAGATGAGTGGACATTATAAGCAGTCTATAGAACATCGGGGTGGATGGACCTTCTGTAAGACTCATATAGCAGTGGCAGAGAACTTTACATTGCAATTTAAAACCTGCTTTCTATCAATATCAGGCTATTGTGTACAGCTGGTAAAAAGTGTAACTTTTGGAAGTGAATTGCCTCAGATTAAGATATAATTGTAGGCATGATCTGTTGCATACTGTGTCATGCAACTCTACAGGTAGCAGACCATGTCTATGGAGATTTCTTAATCTGCAATTCACTTCCAAAAGTTATGCCGTTTGTGCAACTAAGCAACAGAATTTCAGCCGATGCATTCAACAGTATCTTATATTTGAATCAATGGGAGCATGAGTTACACTTGTACATATACCTACAGTAAGCATATTTTTATACAAGTAAAAAATGGATTTTAATTTAATCTAAACTGTGATGAGTGGGCTAATTGGTGGGCTCTAAATGTTACAATTAATCAAATGTACTAATCCTCAATATACTATCCACCACAGCAGCCACGTGCCAACTTCAAACATGGGAATACAGAAATAGCCTTGATATTTTCCTAGCAATGCTTTTCTTTGAATGGGACAGACATGAATTGGCTGTGCACATCTTGAGATGCAATGCATACTGTTTTAAGGGAACGGGAAAAAGGGACTGGTTTTGTAGGACTCTTTCTGAGGATCCAAGCTTCTAGTCTTGTTAAGTTCAGACTTCAACTCTGTATTATCATAACATTCATAATATTTCCTTGAACAGTGAGTTGCTCCAGGCAAGTTCTACTGAATATTTTACTTCTAAGTAAACAGAGAGAGGTCTGCATTGTTAGAATACTCACATCTCTTTATTTAATATACCTTTGCAACAAGGAAAAAATGCCTTAGCACTTGCTTTTGCCAAGATATCATTTTTGGCCATATGCTACAGAAGTTTCTTCAAGGGCATATTCTTTCACATCCAAACAGTAGTTTAATTCCTAACATTATCCTATCACCGCAAGCACTTACTTCAAAAGTTTTTCAAAGGCATCCAAAAAATCTTCACTGGTCATCAATATACAAAAGATGTTCCTCCTGATATCTGTGTTCATTCTTTGTTTGCGAGCAAGCTCCAGAATTTTTGAACTCACCTGAAGGGGGAAATGTGTTGAGAATCAAGTGTTACTATATAAGCCACTAATATTCCAAACATACACATGCTTTGGCCGAGCCACTTTAATTCAAATGGTGTGCTCATTTCACTACTGAAAAAATGAGCAAAGTTATTTACCCAGCATTTATGTTTAGAAGCTAAATAACCAGGCAAGAATCCTGGCATTTCCAAAGCAGTAACTCTACTGTGGCTAAGCTACACATTTTGCTTTCCATGCTTTGAAAAACAACAACAACAACACTGAACTGGCCATTTAAGAAAAATCCCAAGCTGCAACACACTCATTACGAAAATCCCCTTTCTTGCTACTCATCTCCTGAGGGTCTATTTGTAGTAAATAAAGCAGAAACCCTTTCTTCCTGACTTTCAGCAGGAAACTGATGTTAGGTCATGACCTACATTGGAGCCCTGTGGTTTTTTTTCCCCTGCAGAAGGAAAGAAACCTGTTTAATCACAATTGTTTTTTTAAAAGGATGAATTTAGGATGCAGTTTGGCCCTTAAGCACATCACTATTCGGGCATCCAGATAGCTGATTAATGCAGGACATGACATAGTTGAATGTTAATATTTGTGTTTGGGGGGAAGCCAGACAAATTTAGGAAGGAGTGAAATGATTATCTCTTGCTTCAGTGGACAGAAAAAATGGGACACTCCCACTCTCTTTTGTTACATGGTTGGAACATGTCCATTTTATCCTTGAACTCACTTTGAAATGCATATCCTCCAGAGCAAAGCCACAACAACACTCACCTATGTTGATAATGAAAGACGCTACAGTAAAAATGCTGTTTGGAGGCCAATCTAGGAAGGCACCAGGCTTTGATTAATTACCTTTCCTGCAGGTAGTATTTGTTCAATTTTGTTTCTGGTGCTGTCAATCATTGGAGCCCCACTCCAAGACGATCCAACAATCCACCAACGGCCAACCTGATCCGCATTAAGGACAGACTCCAATGACACACGGAGCTGAGCTTCTTTACCAGCACTACCACCATGAACCTAGTAGAAGAGAAGACATATTTACAAAGGAATTTATTTAAACAATTATAGCATTAGCTGACCAAAGAAGACTTGAATATAAGGTGCTCCTAGAAATATTTCTAAAGAATCAGCAAACCGGAAGCCAACCGTTCTGCACACCAAAACCTTTTTCACTAAAACAACCAAACATTCCACATTAGCAGCTTCCCAAAGTCTGTAATAGTAATACCAGTTTTTACTAGTGTTCTGATTTCACCCAGAAGTTGCCAAAAATTCAGCAAGAGGGTATTTTTAATACTCTACCAGTGTTCTCAGCAGCTTTCGTAATTTCTCAGCAGGCTCTGGATCATAACCAGGGATTTTCCTCATGTCATTATTTTTTAGTCCCAACATAATCTCCAGCAAAAAGTAAACCTTTTGAAAAGACAACAAGTCTGTATTATTTTTCTACAATCTAAAATAACACTGATCTCTAGCATAGAAATAAAAATTAGGCTGCAGGCAAAAATGCTATGTGATTATGCATCTCTCACATTAAAATCTGCCAAAGAAAACCAGATTTTGACTGATTTGTGAGAACTCACAATCCTTATTTTTAGTTCCCTTTTCAGAGAATGTTCCATTTTGTAGTTAAAAATCAAACACTGTGACAAATATCTGGACACTTTTATTATCTCATTGTGTATCTAAACCAGGATTGAGGACTTGTGCTGTAGTTCTCGTGAGACCTAGCTAGCTTAGTCAACAATGAAAAATGATAGAAATGTTAGCCCAATAGTATCTGGATGTTCGCCATCACTGGTCTAAAGATACAGCCTTTTCTCAGATTGCCCTAAAATGTTTTGATCCTGCAGATTTAGCTGGAACTTTGAAAAAGTGTCATGAGTGCAACCACAAAATGGTTGTTAAAGGGAGAACAGTCAGTCAGAAACTGTCTGCTATGTAGACATATGTCTAGCCATCATAAATCTGCATAATTAAAAAATGAGATAACCCACTCCACAAAAAGCTTTCTGCATAAGTAGAGTTATTTCTATATTGCATAGTTAAACCACAGATCTGGCACTTGCCAGCGCTGCCATGGCACAGAAACACAGATCCAAAATATTGATCGGGACACTAATGAAACCACCAGCAAATCGGCACACATATGTGAGTACAAAGGTTACCTATGATTTCGTAATATTTTGGAAGGATCTCTTGCAAAAGTACTGAGGATTCATAATGATTTACTCTATGTTTTCTCAAATGCTTTATTCCTTTCCCCCATATTTTTGTGCCACGGCAACACTTGAATAGCTCTGATTTTTACTGCTGGCATGTGCTCTATAATAGGGGGAGGCATGGGAAAGCTATAAAGGTAATGCAAATTCAAACAAATCTTTTTCATTGGATTTGACATTTTTATCTGCCTAAATCCCGCTACAATATTCTACTTGGTCTCCTTCTCTGTATTCTGCTTCCTTTCTGTTGACCCTAACACTAGCACACTCTTCAGACTACTCTCATTTGCTCCATCCTTCACCTCTGATCTCCTGGATCACGCATGGCCCCCACCCTCTGCCCCCCTTCCCACCTGCTCTGCTCTCTTATTTCCCATTAACAGGGACTTCCTTTCTGACCTTCTCCTGCTCACTCTGGATTACTCCCCCTCCAATAATCTTACCGGGAAAAGGTCTCTTTCTTTTCAGAACTCTCTTTCTACTGCACATGTTTCAAACTGCACGTTTCTTCATTTCCCAAAGAATGCCTCAGAGGGTTTCTTTGGAAAGAAACAATGAAGCCTCACTAGCATATCACCTAAGGCGTTTAACTGCCTGTAAAAATGTTTAAAACATGGTGGGCAGAGGCTTGGAAAACACTGTGTTCTCATGGGAGGTATCTGCAGGCAAAGCAGCGCCTGAGGACCCACACTGGGAAACAGCTAAAAGAGCAGGAGGAGAAATATGTGGATTCAAATCCCACCTCTGCCATGAATTCGCTAGGTAACCTCGTGCGAACAGTTCAAGTTCTTCACCTGCAATATTAAGAATCATAGGTGCTCTCACCTTCTCTGTACTTATCAAAACAGGTGTATTCTGTTATCCTACCATACAAGAGCTTGAGGCAAAACTTTAAGGTCCAGTAAGACTTCAAGCAGAACTCGCATGCTATCAGAATGCAAACTGTATTGGAAAAACACATACTGCTTAAAACTCCTAAGAAATATTAGATCACCCCAAAAGAATTATTTTAAAAAATGTAGTCATACCCTTGACTGGTCCTGGAATTGCTTTCCTACTGCGTTTGCTTTTTTCTGGGCCTCAGTAATAAGTTCTTTTAGTGCCAGAGCATCATCTTTCCTCAAGGAAAAGCCCACATTTTTCAGCAGCAGCAGAATTAGTTCAATATCCTTTTCAGAGAAAGAGCTAACAAGCTTCTTTAAGATGTCAAAGATCAGCAATGAATGCACTACATAAAAGTTATACAAATGAGCAATTAAGGTAAGCAAGTTCTCACATTCTTTTCCTTCGGCCTCACTTTTGTAGACTTCATCAAATTTCCTCACCACAGTTTCCACAAAGTGAGCGCCAACCTGGAACAGTTAACACAGACAAAATGATCAATGAACTGCTGACTATTTTAATGAGTTGAGAAATAAATTATGACTACATTTGTAGTTTAAAAAGATGCAGACCAGCAGTAATTTACTGTTTCCCCGAAAATAAGAGCTAACCTGAAAATAAGTCCTAGCACGATTTTTCAGGATGCTCATAATATACCCAAAATACCCCCAAAATAAGCCTCAGTTAAGTGCAACCCCAACCTCCACCATTGTGCAGCAACCAGAAGAGGATGACATGACTGTATTTCAATAAATGTAGATTGTTGTACATGAAAAAAAATAAAACATCCCCTGAAAATAAAACCTAATGTGTTTTTGGAGCAAAAATTAATGTTAAGTCTCTCCCTTATTTTCGGGGAACCATGGTAGATGGCACAGAATGGGGCATGCTCACTGCTTTGCTAATTTAATACTAATAACTCTGGCATTAGACTAGCATTACACATATACTTTCCTTAATCACTTTTACAAGTATTTCACATGTGTAACTTGGATTACTTTTAACTATCATGGAATGCCTCACTTGCAAAAGTTAGCATTCTAGAAAACAGACAGTCTTGGTGCAGGCAGTTTTTAAATATTAAAGCAACCCATTTTGAGGCTCCCAAAGGCTTCCCTAGGCCAAAAGGAAACCTTAGAGAACCTCTGAATTTGAAGGGTGCAGGGGAACAGGAAGCTTCCTATGAGTTTAGCTATTTCCAGTGCCCAATTCGGATTACCCAGCAAGAATTTATGGTACAAAATTTTACCCATGGTTTAATACCGAATTAGGATCCTAGTAATCAATGTCAAACCTCTAACTACTTTATGCAAAACTGTTGCCAGAGTTCACAACTAAGAAAAGGTCAGTACTTAAAGAAAAAAGTGGAAGAAAAAAAGGGACTTTTCTTTATTGATAACATGCAACAACTCATTGCCTCTTAAAGACTTACAACATTGAAGATATCCATAATTAATTAATGTTTTTAAATTAAAGACTATTTGAATTGATATTCTGTTACCCTGCTAAAGATACCTAAGATGCTGATGCTTAAGTAGGAGAAAACAGGCACTATAAAATGTGTAATTACCAAAAAGCTGTGAAATTTTGCACTTAAAAATGGAAGATGCACCAGGAAACTAGCTATCTTGCAGAAACATCTGTGAAAAAAAGGTACAGTCCAGAAAAGCTAGTTACCTCAATTCCCACTGTTTGATGAAGGACACTAATCAAAAGAACATGCTCCATCACCAATCTGGAAGGCATTGCTGATGATGTAACACAAGCACTGATAATCGTATCTGTTAATGTTTCATTCATGTCTTTTCTACTGTTTGCCATGTATAGCTCTTCCAATTGCCCACTTATAGAAGCCAAGTTTGGTTCACTCAGTCTAGCAGGAAACAAATCACACAGAAATAAAGTTAAAATGCTTGTTTGGCCTCATAATTATCAACATCTAGTCATTATAACACCACCATTCCAAAATGTAAATCCACAAATGTTTAATGCACATAAATGCTCATTTGAAGCATATTTGAATCATCCCTGTTTTAATTAATACATGTTTAATTTAGCTTCCTTGAGGAGAAAAGCATGCATCTAGAACAATACACTACATGAATCTTACACAGAATCTTTTAATTCCAAACTTGAGAAAAACTCCATTAATTTTGCTAAATATATTGAATAAACCACTCTAGAACTACAGTGGTGCCTCCACTTACGAACTGAATCCGTCCCAGAAGATGTTCGCAAGTCGAAATGTTCTTAAGTCAAATCAGCATTTCCCATTGAAATACACTGAAACCCGATCAATCCATTCCGGCTGTTTTTTGTTTGTATGTAGAGGTGCTGGTTGTAAGCCGAAGCATTAGTTCCCATAGGAACTAATGCAAAACCAGTTAATCTGTCCTCTACTACTAGGGGGAGAATTTTTAAAAAAACCTAAGATGAATTAGGTTAAAAAAAGGGCAGGAAAGGAGGGATGGAGGGAACAATGGGGAAAAGAGGAAAGAAAGGAGGTCATCACTGGGGCACACAGACCCCTCGGACAAAGGTTGCGAAGACAATGGGGAGGAAGAGAGTTTGGAGTCTTAAACCCACACATTTTAAACCCACACATTTTACACCAAGACATTTTAAACCAAACCAAGCAACTTTTAAACAAAACACATTTGAAACCAAACCAAGTACCTTTTAAACCCACCCACCAACACTTTTTAAAACAAAAGAGAGGTTCAGCACACTACAGTACACAAACCCTAGGAGCCACAGAATCCATTACAGTGGGGTCTTGACTTGAGAACTTAATCCGTATTGGAAGGCGGTTCTCAAGTCAAAATGTTCTCAAGTCAAATCTGCATTTGACACAAACCCTAGAAGCCACAGAATCCATTATTGGATCATTATTCAACCAAACAGACCCCCTCAGCATGGGGGGGGGGAAGCAGAGAAAGAGAAAAGACAATGGGGGGGGAGACCTGAGTCTAAACTCAATTTTAGAGCACACCAGCCAGCGCAGACCCTTGCAGAAAGAGTCTGCAAGACCCAACAGAGCACAGAAACATAACCCCACTGCCTAGCCCAAACCCAAAAAATAAAAAAGCCAAAAATATATATATACAGTAGTACAGTACAATACCAGGCAGTCTGAAGTCTCTCTAACTCCTGGGGCGAACGAGGTAGCAGACAAGCAGCCTCTTCGCTGGCCAACGGTTAACTGAAAGTTCAAATTTCCTGCTTTCCCTGCATATTTTTTCTGTTTGTAAGTCGAAACAAAATTTTGTGATCAGAACTGTTCGTAAGTCAAAATGTTTGTAGGTAGGGGCGTTCATAAGTCAAGGCACCACTGTATTCTGGTTATAAAAGAGGATTTCTCAAGTCTGCTGACACAGCATGACAGAATGTCAGCTACCATTATGTAACTGAAGCCACCTTGTTTGATTCAGCATTTGATCGTAACTACACATCAGTTTGACAAAACCAACTTATTTAGTTTCATTTAAAAAGTCAATGAGAGGTTTGTAGCCACCATAAATAATAGTGTAGCAGGGCAGATTTTACCCATCCTTCCTTGGTTAACTATATAATTTTTTTAAGGAAAAAATTTTAATACAATTTCAGTAAGATTACCTGTTAACTAGACCTTTCACCATTTTCTTTAGTCTTTCTAATTCTTCCCTCTTTTTGGCATCTAACGTTTCTTCAGACCTTCGCATTTGAGGAGGAACATACTTTGTTGCACCTTGGGAAGGATGCTAAAGAAAAAACCAAAAGAGGCAAAGAGACTATTAAATTATTTTGTACATCAAACTCAACACTTAGATCTTGGCTGAAAAAAGCAAAGCGTGCTGCTTATATACCGCCCCACAGTGCTTCAAGCACTCTCTGGGCGGCTTACAAGTTAATTATGCAGGCCAAACATTGCCTCCCCAACAAGCTGCGTACTCATTTTACCGACCTTGGAAGGATAGAAGGCTGGATTAACCTTGAGCCAGCTACCTGGGATTGAATCCCAGGTCCTGAGCACAGTTTTAGCTGTAGTACAGCAGTTTAACCACTGCGCCACAAGGCTGTTGTGCACATTTTGCTACATGTAAACTTTGCACAAGGACAGGTCAAATTCAATTATTCTGGGGCTACAAGCTAACCGTCATGGCAAAATTCTTCGAGTGTGTATACTGTTAAGTGCAGCTAAAAATTTAAGTGGCGACTGTAATAACTGCATTGTTTACTAAGATATGCACATTTGACAAGTATCTCTGTCAGGCAGTGGAGAGGTTGATGTTCTCCAAGGTTTCTTTTTTGTACAATGTGTAAACACGCTGACCTGGGCAAAGTGCGGCCCTCCAGATGTTGTTGAACTGCAAATCCCAACACTCCTCACTATTGGCTGTGTGGGCTAGGATTGCTGGGAGTTGCAGTTCAGCAACATCTGGAGGGCTGCACTTTGCTCAAGTCCTCAGGCCAGCTGTGCCTCTGGCTCAGTGCTGGGGCGCTGGGCCTGGAGGCTTCCCAATAAACTTTTTTTTGTACTGACCTCCTCAGTTTTGGGAGGTGCAGCTTCCCGGGCTTCATCTTCTGGGTTTCTGAAATTATGGGATGCCTCCTCCTCTTCCTCCTCGTCGCTTCCACTTTCTCCGTCTCTCATCTCTTCTCCCACAGCCGAGCCTTCTTCTTCATCCTCCTCCTCCTCCTCTTCTTCTTCGTCCTCTTCCTCTTCTCCCTCGGTCTCTTCGCCCTCCTCTCTCAGGCTCGGTCTCTCTCCCGCCTCCCCTCCTTCCTCCGCCTCCCCACCTTCCTCTTCCTCGCTGCTCTCATACAGACCCGAGAAGGTCGCTCCGGATCCCAGAGCGCCCAACACGTAACCCAGCCCGTCCCGGACGAAGCTCGGAGGCAAGGCGGTGGCCGGCATCGCCCCCGCCGCCGCCTCGTCCTCCCCTCGTCCGGGGGCCCCTGGTTTCCGCCGCCGCCGCTTGTGGAGTCCCAGCCGCTTCTCCAGCCGGCGGATCTCCCGCTCCTCCTCCTCGTTGGCCGCCAGCAGCGCTCTTTTCCGCGCCGCAGCGCTCGCCGAGGGCTTCGGCTTCTTCTCCTCCTCCTCCGGGGCCTGAGGCCGCGTCTTCTCCTTCGCTTTCTTCTCCTGAGGCGGCGGCGGCTTTTTTTCTCCGCCGGCGGCCGTCGACGCCGGGTGGGGCGGCCGAGGGGCTTCGGCCGCCTCCTCCTCCTTGCCGTTCAGGAGCCTTCGCCGCCGGCTGCGCTTCAGCTTGCGCTTCTCCTGCTTCAGCTCCCGGCGGTTCCTCCGGCTGGCGAAAGCCGGGAGGCCTTGCTTCGGGGTCTCAGGAGGAGCCCCGAAGCGGCCCTCGGAAACCTCCGCGGCCTCCACGAACTCCCGCACGGCCAGGCCCATTTTCTGTAGCTTCCCGGCTCGCGGTTCCTTCTGCCGCCGCCCCGCTCCTCGCCTCTTATTGTGGGCCCGGCCATGCCCGGACGCTGAAGAGAAGCCGGCCGCCCGCTTCATGGTCCTCGCCTCTCCACACAGCGCGGGCCTTCCCCTTCAGGTTCTTTACCTCATGGGCGCCGCCATCTTGAAAGGCCCGGCTTAGGCCCAGCCGGGTTGAGATCGCGGTGGTGGGAAGCGGCGGCAGGAGGAGGAGCGCCACCTATTGGAAAGCAATTCAACTGCTGCTGTCAAAGATGGGGAGAGAGAACTTGGGGGGAACACGCGACCTGCTCGGGTTATCAGGGCCAGGCGTCCCCTCAGTAAAGGAACCCTGGGAAATGTAGTTTCTCCGTCGAGGGCTTGCAATGAAACTCCTCAAGTAGCCTCACGTCTCCCCCATCAAACTACAACTCTCAGGATCTTTAAAAGTTTGATCAATTCATGTCGTTTGCTAACCATCTTATCTAAAAGCCCCTTAGTATGAGTCCTTTCAAAATTTCAATCAAATAGGATTTATGCTGATATTTTTTTAATATTTATGTATCCTGCCTTTCTCCTTTGAAAAAGACCCAAGGCAGCTTACAACATCGAAAGATAATACAGTATTTAAAACTAAGAACAATTGAGTATAAAGAGGCAGATTACATCATTAAAAGGCAATATTAAAGCGAAGAACAACAAGTATACAAATGTTAAAAAGGAAAAGAAAAAAAAACACAGAATGGCCACTCTGAGAAATGAAAAACATAAAAATGGAAAGTATACAAATATTAAAAAGGAAAAGAAAAAAAACACAGGCCACTCAGAAATTAAAAACATAAAAATGGAAAACGTAAATAGTACTAAAAGCCCAGTCAAAGTAGTAATGCATAACAATAAATTTAAAAAACCCACTCAGGCAGCCAGTCACTGAGGGAAAGCTTGCCTGAAGAGCAAGGTCTTCATCCATTTGCAGAAGGACAACGAAGATGGGGCCAGTCTGGTCTCCTGTGGGAGGGAGTTCCAGAGTGCAGCAACAGAGAAGGCTCTCTCCCATGACCCCACCAAACACACCTGTGAAGCTGGCAGGACCAAGAGAAAGGCCTCCCGATGGTCTTAACATCCACATAGGTTCATAAAGGGAGATACAGTCCTTGAGACAGCTTGGAGCCATTTAGGGTTTTATAGATAAAAAATGGCACATTGAATTGTGCCTAGCGAGTGCTTTTATGGTGGCTTTTCCCTTCTGAAACCAGATCTTACAAGATCACCAAACCCAAAATATGTGTCTATAGATTTCATAGAGTACCTAGTCAATCCCATTGTATTTAAAAACAAAAAAGTTCCAGTATGAGCCATCTTCTTAAGGCTAGACACTGATGGTTTGTTTGCTCCCCAGGAAGAACCAACGATTTATACATGAAGAATACAACCATTGTAGCTTCTGTCCTTTGTTCACTGTTGTTCCATCTACATTGATTTTGCCTTCCTTTCTTGGTACATAATAGTTGCTAAATGTAAATTACAGATACAGTTATGCCTTAATGGAAACTAGGACTGACATCAAGGGCTGGATAAGAAGGGACTGACACTTTTCGCATGTAAAAATAAAGCCATTAATTTAACAGATATGAAGAAAGGACAGAGGGAAAAGGAAATGTCCCTTATTAAATATTTACCACTTCAGCATTGATGAAAACCGCTCTATAAATGACAATATAATACAAGTAAGTGTTCCCAAGGTTAGGTCAACTTTCAGGTTGAAGTTAAGTCGCTCATAGAAGGAAGAATTACATTTCTTGGCATGGACATATTAATTATATAAATTTCATAAAGGAAATGCAAAGTCCTATAATGTGTGACATTGATTAATGATGCTGTCCTGATTTATAGTTGTGTATTTTTGAACTGTGATATTTAACAAGCAGCTAATTTAAAAGCTGGGCTCCTATCAAAAGTTTTATGGTGCATCCAGCAGTCCCATGGGTAACTTGAATGCTGTTCTGTTAACACTTCTAAAACTGATCTTATAACCTACAATTTTCTCTCTGAAAAATTAAAAATAAAAATTGCTGTTGATTAGCAGCTTTTCCTAAATTGGCTTCTTCCATTCCTCACATTTACCTGAGAGAATAGTTGCACTTGCTGATACAATTGTGTCTGTCATTAAAGTGTGAGCAGAAAGGCTTTTTGGAGAACCAAACCTGATGTTATCTGACAACATGGCTGCCATTAAAAACAGCAGTTGGACACCAGACTCTTCCTCCTCCCTCTATAAAGATCAGCAGAATTTAGTCATGTCCTGAGATCATGATGCTCTTCATTTCCCTGCTCTCTTTGACACCACTAGCTGCTGAAAACACAGAATGCTGTCGCATCAGATCACAGGCAAGGTTTATTAGATGTGAGGGAAGGGAAGATGAACCACTGTCATTTTAGTGTTGACTGTGATTTCAGAACTGGTATGATGTACAGTACAGTAGTAGTTAATACTGGACGTGGATCTGCCAGGGGTAGATTGTGGATGATTTGAGCCAGTCACACTCTTTCAGCTGCATCAATCTCATTGGGTTATTCTGAGAAATGTGGGGGAAACCATGTACAGTATATTGCTTTTACTTCACTGGAGATATGGCCAAACATAAATGCAACAAACAAATAAGCACAATACCACACACACAATCACATATGTTTTTAATTTGTTATTTATTAAAAGCTAAACATGTTCACACTTTTTTTAACAACAGAAGAAGTCTTATATAGATACTTTATCATAAAGATTATGGATGCAGGCATTAAATCACACGTAAGTTTAAGTTTCACATCTTTATTTACCATAATGTAGTTGAGAGCATTTGATACATTTGGCTATTAATGCTAAGTCTCACATCTTTTGAAAGCTATTCATCTTTCAAAATATAGGCATCTAAATTGGCCCTTAAAAGTGACCCTTGTTTATGAGGATAAGGCTGTTAAATACTTTGTTTATCAGAAAAACAGTGTGTGTATATTTATAAAAACTGGCACACTGCCTGTTATAAATAACTGAATTATTGCAGGTTTTTACAGTGCAGTTGACAGTATCCATCTTTACATGCGCGATTATGATTCCTTCTGTTTCCCTTGCTGTTTTCTGAACTCCTCAGCTGAGAAAGGTATAATAATGGACTTTTGTTTCCCTTGCTGTTTTCTGAACTCAGCTGAGAAAGGTATAATAATGGACTTCACTGTGTATGTGGGCTAGTCCACTCAAAGCAATACATACAGGAGGAACTGCAAAATGGATAATGTATTGCTACCAGTGCATGTATATAGGGCCTGCCCAGGATTCAGCTAAGAGCTCTGCTTTACTATGCCTTCACTGATTCCTGGGAAATAAACAATAACTACCTTCAAACACAAGTATTCCATCAACCTTTAAAATTTCCCAGGGCTTTGAACTAATGTTCCAATATCTTCCATTGCCTTTAAAATTTCCCAGGGCTTCTTTGAACTAATGTTCCAATATCTTCCATTCTAGCTGGCATAGCGGACATAGAAGGATGATGGGAGTTGGAACCCAGTAACATCTGGAGGGTCACGTTTTCCACATACAGTATTAGGACACAAACACACCTTTCACTTTAATTTTCCACATATTAGGACACAAACACACCTTTCACTTTATGGTTTATCTGTAGTAGAAATCTTATTGCTTTGGCCCCAGGCTTAGTCATGCTTAGATTAGATCCAGGGACCTCAATGGGACTTTTATTAGCCACCACTTACTTACATCCCACTCCTTTAACTCCTCTAAGCATGAGTAAGCCTGCATGCAAACCATTGTGTTTATGGTCGTACCATGGCTCCTCCACTCCATACCAACTGCAAAGCATCTTGGGAATTTTACTTTGGTGGGAATAGCATTCCTTGTGTGTTTTTAAAATTTTCCTGGGGAGGGAGTAAATAAATCTGAATCATCCTTTTCCTATTATTGATCCTAATTCACAAAGTTGCTTTGGCCAAGGTGATGGCTATGACAACCAATCTAAAATATGGGATGCAGAGATAGATGCTTTGTTTCTCTTGACTTTGGCTGCTTCCATGCCTTGCGTACGACTGGCCTTTCCCCTTCACTATACCCCCCCTTGCTTTTCATTCAGAAAGACTCTGATTCGTGGGATTCTCTGCCATTTTATCTGTTTGTGGATGCTAGATCTATAATTCCACATAGCACAAGTGTAACGTTCCTGAATTTAGTATCCTCCAGATGTGTTGACAACAGTTCCCACTGTCCCTTTCCAACATTGTTCATGCTGGCTGAGATGATGGGAGTTTCTAATCTAACACATCTGGAGGCAGGCTGTAATAGACCTGATTTTTTCCTTCCGCATTATACCTACCTAAAATATAATTATTCTTAGCAAAATAATAGATACAGATTTGATATAATTTTTCTATGCTTGAAAAATACAGGTTAGTTTAACTGTGGAATCTTAGTTTAACCTTGGCATTTTCCAGAAAAAAACACCTTGCTAAATATTTTTGAAAGATTAGCAGAACCTTTTGTGCCAGTGAAGGAGAAATACTCATTAGGTATAAAGGACCCGGTCTTGGAACTGGAACATTGTAGTTCTGCTGCTTGAGCCACCTAAGATACAGTACATGATGTAATGACTGAAAAAGAAGAAATGCGTAGAAAGTAACAAGCCATCTTCTGAAAATTAATGAGTTATTAAAGTTTTCAGCCAAAGCTGGACACCAATGTTCAGTACTTAGGAGGACATGAAATGACAGCCGCAGGACAAGAGCCCGGGAACAGCAAGTCCATGCTTGGCACTCCAGAGGAGACAAATAAGACAAAGCTGGCAGCTGAACTCTCCTGATGGCAGTTATTAGCAATACTGCAGAAGGTTGGCTAGACACGGCTTCATTTTCATCTATTATGCTGTATTCTTAAGGCAAGCCCAACACTATGAAGTACAGTAAAGGTATATTGACGGCTTTCCCTGTTCAACCCAATGGGCTCACACAAGCCAAAAAATGAATTGATGGCACGTAACAACAAGCAGCAACGTGATGGACCCATTATATTTTTCTTCCCGAGACAACAAACCAAATGATACCCTTTCTTGCTCCTTCTTTCCTCTGCCATCACAGCAGCTTTTCTGCCTGCTGAGGTTGTAGACCACCGGTTCTATCGCATACAGTGGTGCCTCGCTAGACGATGATAATGTGTTCCACTGAAATCGCTGTTTAGCGAAATCACTGTCTAGCAAAAAG